CTTTTTAGCCAAGAATGATTCCTTTAAGTCAAATTTTCCATTTTATTTTTTCACAATGAAGAAACGTAACCCATCCAAATAATTTTTGTGCCAAAGTAATAACATATTTCCTCTTTAACTCTTCCCCATTTAAGCAAGTTGTGTCGTTCAGACATTGGAACGATGCAGAGGATTTTGGTGGTCGCTTTGAAGTGGATGACGAGTCATAGTGGTTTTAACCTACGCCATAGTCACTTTACTCTTTGTCGTCATTACCCGTTTCTGTCACATTACTAATCATTAATGGCATCAGCATTATCGCCATTATCATCCTTATCACCATCATCATTTTTGTCAACGACAACAAATTCTACTAATCACCTTGAAACCGTGGACTGCATTAAGGGTAACTTGAGCAAATTTCCACTGGTTTCCTTGATCACCAACAAGTCGCCATCGTAAAGATATCGTGTTCTCTTGGTCGACAGTAAAAATATTCAGTCTACTAGCATTTTCTCCTGACATGTTGTAATGAAAGCTCAAGCAATTCACTGTTCCCGCAAGATAAATACTCTCAAGAGCTGAGAGAGTCGTTCTTTGACGAGGGTAGGACATGCTTGCTTGCACGTAGTCTGTTGCTGAACAATAAGAGAGAAAAGTATCAAAATTATATCAATTTAATTAGCAATGTTTTACATTAAGTCATGCAAGCAGGACAGACAAGAATTAATTTTTGAAAGCGTTTCTTTTGCGCTAATTAATCTTAAATGCTTATTTTCCAGGACTTTTAGTAATTTGTTTTTCTCAAAAGAAAATACGAGTAAAAATGAGGCGAGTAATGAGATCCGGAAGAACCGCGGCCGAGGTTGGTGCTTCTCGACCTAGCTCCTTCCCTTTCTTACCACAAGACAGCTTGCGTCTGCGCATTGGCCTGAACTGGAGCAACCTTTTTTTAACACGAGAAAGAGCGGGAAAGATCCGACGAAACGCGTCGAGAGAGGTTTGTTTCGTTTCAACCTATTCCCCTTCTTACCAAGAAGTATCTTATCTCCACCTTTCTTTTATCCTTGCATCGAACCGGAAAAAAAAACAACTTGTAGGGCTGAATATTTCTTTTTCTTACCTCTTAGACCTGCTTTCCCACTGTTCACGCTATTGGCGTAACAAACTATTGACCATTTAATCAAATTTAAATGTTTGTGGTTTTGTCTCACTGAAATTTGGTCAAACATTTTGGAAACTGCAAATTTGATATGAATGTTGGTGAAACTTACCTTCTTCTCGAACTTCAACTTCGCATAATTTCAAGATGCCATTACCAACAATCCTTGTTATGCTAACAAATCTTCCCTTCAGAGGCGAGGGGCAACGAATTCTTTTCCAATGCAACTGTTTAAATCTAAAAGATCCCCCACACGGTGAGTTCTTCTTTAGATTGGGGTTGTCGTGATTTCCTACTCTTATCTGAAGCAAGTAGTTCTCTGATACATAAGAGTGTTTGTAGATATATACATCATGAACTAAAACTTCTCTTTCCAAATCCACTCGCCACCATGGGTCCTTCTGTGAAGTTGTTTTAGTGCATTTCTCTGTGTTTATATTGTAATGACTGCCATCTGTTGCAAAGGAGGAAGCTTTAATTGTGCCTGATTGGGCTGTAGGTTTCTTGAAAGCCGCGTTGTTACTGTCTGAAAACGAAAAAAACTCTTCGCTGAAGGTAGCTTCGCCCAGGAATATTCAATTGAAGTTCTTTGTCATAGTTCCATTATAGCTTGGTTAAAAATTACTAACGGGCATACACGACTCCTGCCCATCGCATGCGATTTTAATCTTCTGCTTTCAAAGGTTAGGTCTCACCAGAATATATTTTAATGACTTTCCCATCAAAACAATCTTGGGAGAGTTGAATGCTTTATAAGCCAAATACTATCTTTTGATAGCTGTGAGTGATCTGAGCTAAAACATTTGAGTTATTTGTGAGTAGGGAACTGCCTACCACAAAGATAATGTTTTGTTTTCGTTTCTCAAGCCATTCGTTATGCGATGGTTGTATGAAAAATGACTGCATCATACATTTCTATTACACTTCGTTCTGAATATTTGAGCTCGAGGTTCCTAATGAAAGTTATGGACTAGGGGTCACCGGGTAGACGACGCTAAATAAATGATAATGATATTTTACCGTGCGTCAGGCCTGAGAAATTGATTACTATTCCTAGTGACTCGAGATATTTTCAACTGACCGACACACTTCCAAAGCATAAAGAGTTCATTCGAGATGGCTGTTTAGTCCTTAGCACGTTTGAAAAGATTTAAACTTTCATTTTCCCTCAAAGAAGACAATAATCGGCGATAAATAACGATCGATTCAAGCAACAATTCATTTTAATAGTTAGCAGGCCTTGCAGTAGATTACAGCCAACCCAAACGTCCAATCGCGAAGCGCCAAGCTTAGCCCCACATACCTTTAACTATGTAAATATTCATGTAATTAGTTGCTCCTTTGCCATTTTTGCAACCGTGGGATGTCTCAGTATAGCTTTTCTCGACATCAGAATACTCGACTGCTGCGGACAAACATTTCCCTCCACTCGCTACAGCGAACATTTTGTTTCCTTTCCTGCGCGCGGCGTGAAGACATTTTTGTACAGCATCCAATCTAGAAACGTGGTTGCCAGTCAGTATTGGGTCTGTACCTTCCAGACTTGGTATCGGTGGACCGGAGCCTATTTTAAAACAGCCCATGTTGTGGTATTCTGTAGAAATAACATTGAGAGAGATAATATTTTGCAGATACATGAATGGAATTTCTCTAATCCAAAGTTTTATACCTGGTCGGATGTATTTTCGAAATATTTTCGCACGAAGAGACCAGATTTCTAGCCAACGTCGCAGTTGCCTCCTCTGCCTTATCCATCTTTTTTTTTCTCACCATGCTACCTCCCCTCCCCCCTTCCCCGCCTCCCCTGCCTGTTTCGAGATTCTACAGAGAAGCCTAATTTTTCGTAAATTGTTCTCTGATGTGTTTCGAGTTCCTCCATGGTTGTTACCATTGCAAATATATCTTAGATAAATCCTCCCTTCTCTTTTTTCAACTCGTGGCGTTTTGAACAATAAGGAGCTAGACACAGATGCCTACTTTTTTCAGGTAGAGATTTTAATGCGATTATCAATCTCGCTGGTATTTGTAAGACGAGTGCTTTGATTTCCGCCTTCTTATTTGAGTTCAGGGGCGCCAGGAGTGCGCAGCCTGGTTACTAAGTTACCTAAAGGTCGTGTCCATGGTTGAATATTCAACACAATCTTTAAAAATCTCAACACGCGAAGAGGAGTGAATTTTTCTGGCGACGAAGAACATTAAATGGTTTCTGGAGTTGTTTTTGTCTCCAATAAGAGACAGTTTATGATACCATTTCCTTACTTACTAGTGTCTTGGGGTATTACGTCAAACCTTTGCTCATCAGGACTCTCCCGAGGAACACGTTTTAGCTCCCATGGATAATCATAATTGCCAGTATTTTTCCACATGTACCAGGGAAGAGCTATTAAGAGAGAAATGTTAGAGCTTGGATCATTCATGATTTTTGACTGGAATATTTTACTTACTGTAATAATTGTGATATTGACTGTATCAGTGTTAGAGGAAACGTTCACCTCTTACATTTGCATTTTAACTTTAATCATAACAGTTTTGCGTTCAGGGAGGGAAAGCTTCCTAGTTTCTGATGCCAATAGTAAAATGGAGGATGGATTGCAAACCAATTGTTAGTTCAGAGTACAACCTTTAGGGACCGGTCATTATTTAAGTAAAAAAGGGAGAAAAAAGAAGAGGGGGAGGGTCAAGGCTATTTCAGATTGGCAAGAGGGGGGGCTAAACTTATATAAAGAAATTTAGGGGGTCAGAAGACTGAGGTACATTTTAAGAGTTCTCCATTACCCAAGGTGGGTGTCACGCAAAGTAATTATCTTATAGTTGTATATGACTTAAATTTTGAAAATTACGAGGCATGTGAGAGGAGGTCTGAGGTGACAAGGGAGTCATCACCTTAATATTGAATACAGAAGAAGGGGTCACCTGCTAATTACATCATGGCCTGGGGGGGAGGGGTTGGGGGGGTCGGCTTATAGAAATTGTAATCTTTTCAGCATATCTTTCCCTGCCTCCTCTTATAAATAAATAATAAATAAATAATTAATAAATGGTGACCTGTCCCTCATTTACTAATCCTGTTTTTTAAAGTAAGAAATGTAAATATCGTTAAGCTTTGTGGTCGTGTATTAACATAGCGCATTTCTGTTTCATTAAATATTTCGCGAAATGAAAGGTTTCTAAGCCCACTGAATTTTAAAGTTGAGTTGTATAACGATGTATGTACACAAGTGTTCCTGACACCATCTTAAAGGTTTCAGCGGGGAAAAAAAAACGCGCTATATAATCAGCTTACCAATTTTAAGCTCAAAATCTGAGGATTTTAGTTGGCATGTTAGTGGTAATGTCAGCTGTTATCCAATTGCTAAATTTACGAAATAACAAACATCCGAATAGAGGGGGTTAGTTTGTAAAGAAACTGTGGTGCTGCGTCGGTGGAAGAGTACAACAAGATAATTTGGTTTCATCAACTGAGTTGATAATGTAACTTGGCCTCCGTTAAGAGTTTCAAAGCTGACGTTTCGAGCATTAGCCCTCCATCACACCCGAAACGTCAACTTTGAAACTCTTTGCGGTGGCCAATGTACGTTATCGGTTCAGTTGATAAAACCAAACTTATCTTCCTAAAAAAAACATCAGAGATAATTACCGCGGAAGGCAAGAAAAGTGATGCTGACATTTTGTCATTTACCGTTTTCTGCCTCTTTCAGGCTTTGTGTTGTTTTCTTGCCTTTGCCAAAGGCTTGCGTGATTTTGCTAAACAACGCGCGGTAGAAGTTTGTACTAGGCAATCGAATTGGTTACGCCTGTCTTGCGTGCGGAAAACGCACGCGAAACTAGAAAACTTCTACAATTCAATGTGACTCTCAGCCGTGGGTAAAACAATTAAACCATATATTACGTACATGATTTCTGATACATTTGATATCCTGAATTTTAAATTCGCTTCTAATTACCTGAGCATGCTTGCATGTCTTCCATTTTTTCTGGTGGAATGACCGACTCCCAGATTCTTAGGTCGGAAATCTGCAGATTATGTGTTCTCTTTAAAAAAGTAGTTGACTCCCTTCCGATATAAAACCGTGGGAAGGTACTCTCAGTTGCGTAAAGAAGTCGTGCGGGACTGGTTGACTCGACTGTGAGAACGCCATTCTGATAGAAGCGCAATCCCCATTGATTACTCCACGTGATACCCACGTGTACCCATCCCAGAGGGTAGTCTGGAAGTCTAGCTTCCCAAATGTGAGGGCCCGCGGATACCGACAGATGATATGTTTGTGTAAACTCTTGAAAGCCAAAGACAATTCCAGCGCTGCGTTTGCTAACAGTGCCTGTTGCCAAAATGACGTCTATATTTTCTGCTCGGAAAAAAAACATAGCAAATCATGTTTGGAAATAGTATTCCATAGTAGAAAAATTTAGGCAGCCTGAAATTAGACCCTCGATATCTTTTTAATTGAAGTGTGGCCATACCAAACAGAGCCCGTGTTTGAATGGAGGACTTTAAATCCCTTAACGTTGTGAAAAATGATTACACTGCATAATACATCGGATAAGAGAACAAAAAAGTGTAGAATCTTTGAGTCAAGAACACTTGACAAAGAGGATAATCTGAGTTTCACTTAAAGATTATACTCTATGCAGATCGAGCGTTATGGTCGAGCGCAGGGAGCTGGTGTCGAGTTTAGCCGTACGCTGGAACGTGATTATGGAAGACTTCGGTGATCCCTTGAAAACTGCCCACCTTAACCCTTAAACAGAATTTCTCCTTACAGCATCAACACAATATCAGGCAGACAAGTAATGGGAGCAAAGAAAAATCTCAATTAGTGGATTATTAGTTGACACAATAGTAAATTCTGCAAATTAACGTAAGAATTGTATGGCAGACAGTAAGGAGGCTTATTAATGTGATATTGGCTTTGGAAGGGTTAAGGACTTTTGTGAAATGTTGGTTTAAACCTTGTCGATATTCGTGCACATTAAATGTATTCGGTAAAGTTGACATTGCCACTATAATGCCTTTTGTAAATTTTTAGATGCATGCAAATTAAAAAGTCATAGATATAACAGAGGTACCCTTTTTGCAAGCAATTTTACGATTTGTAGTGCACAGCACAGTGTTCCATTCTCCAGTGTCTTCTTGCTCCACACATTCTTTGCTATTGTCACTATGATCACCCGATTTCCAGTTTGTAAAGTCGGCCAAGGAACCATCACTCCATCTAAATATGCTCTTGTGCGTGGAATCCCGTCGTAAATCCAGCCACCAACTGTAACCACTTTTCTTTAGGAAGTTGTTCTCTTCTATCGACGTCACTTTGGGTAAGTCAGCGCCTCGCACACGACAAGTGTTTACAGCGTGAGACTGTGGTTGTGAATGATCCGAAAACCAGTAACAGGAACCCTGGAAATATTCCCAACCAGAAGGACACCGCGCTGGACAAGAAACAAAAAGGGGAACAAGGTTTTTAATGTTCAGTCTCTATGCGGTCTCTGTAGCGTTGAATATCAATTATGGGTGTTGTAGTTCGGCCTCTGAGTAGGGACTGAAATTTTATGCAGGAGGACTTTCAATGAGAAATTCTTGCCAGTAAAAAGTATCCCGTCGACAGAGGTTTTCAAGGAGTGAATATAACTTGAATGTAACTTGAATATAGCTTTAAATTCATTCGGAAACAATAATACCTCCACTGCATGGAAATGTTTCCAGAATAGAGTTTTCCCTAAGGGTAGCTTTTTAATGATCTTTATCATTATAAATTTTGTGAACAGACTCCAAAAGAAAATGGAGCACATCAACAAAAGACAACCTCTAACCTCAACAACTTCCTCAATGAAATATCCTTACCTGATATATAAATCTCCACCCTCATGCAACAACTAGTTGCTGTGTTGCATTCTCTGGCGTTGAACTTTACTAAATGTGCTTTGAATGGAGGTAAAAAAGTTTGCTTCACCACTCCGTTGCCATTAACATTTCCCACAAACTCCTGTAAGGTACAGATAAAAGCATGTGTTACGCATAACTTACGAACTGGTCGTCCAGAAGGAACCCTTAGTGTACTCGTTGGGCTGAGTTCACAGATTGCACTATTTTAGTACCCAAGGCTAGTTATGAATATTTTGAGACAGGTAACTTGTGATGTTTCCTTCGCATCCAGCTACTTTGAAAGCACAATGAATTACGTGGAATTGTTTTGTTTTGTTCCATGTCGATACTTATTGATTTTCCTTCGGAAATTAAAGGAGGATGAAGAATCATACCTTCGGTGTCAGCCAAAAAAATCACAAAATTTTTCAGTGTTAATACTTCAAATATTAACCAAAACAATTTCTGACTATGCAATAGGAACAAGCAATATTAAGTTGAGTCAGCAAGGACCTGTAAACATTCGATTGTAGGAACAGGTGATCAACAGCTTCACGATTCTGCCGTGAGCTAAACTTTGACCTGAACTGTTTTCCTAAGACGGAGTCATCATAGTACCTTAACGTTTCCGTCCTCTTCAAAATTCTCCCAACCTCCACTCGTCGTTTTGTAAGCCAATGTAAACTTCTTTACAAAGCCGTAATTGTCCCGAGCACCTTGGGTGTTTATACCATTTATGTCATAGTCTCGACCAAGGTCTATTTGAAGCCAGGCCCCCACGCTTCCACACCAGGAGGCGTGGCAGTTTCTCCACTCGTGAAGCCGAGCTAGTCTTGGTTCAGTCATACATTTCCAAGAGGATGTTGACCAGTAACTGACGTCGTGAAGAGTGACAGCTGTGAGTAGTGAAAACAGGGTAAATTAGCCGTTGAATGGGGCAGATTAGGCGTTAGAGTATTCAGTTATTATTTTTTCGTCATTATTATGTTTTTATTTACTTGTCCCGATTCTTAAGTCCCAGCATTAATGATCCTAGCAGAACGCTTGTCACACATTAACCCAAAGTATGGCTCAGCTCGTTAAGGAGTTCTCAGGAGAAAATGACCGCGAAATCTTAATTCTGAATTTCGATCGCTTGTAGAAGATATTTTTTCCTTTTCCTAAGCTCTTGACAAAACGAATGGCATCCTGCGTTATTTCTCTTCGTTGTCTCTCACGGTTGGAAAATTCTCTGCTTGTTGGCTTCTGTTTTATTATGACTATACGAGTTGCCATGGTCAGTTGTGGAAAAGGCGTGTACAGATTGTGTATACGTCAATGTACTGGTAGACCATATGGTTGCATGACGTAGAGGCTGATTTTATGACCATTGGAGATGTCTCACCGAGTCGATAACCTCGAGGGCTCTTGACTCGGGGCCTGTTTCTCGCCTTCGCCAGCTTGGGTCTAAAAATTACCAATTACTGGTTGTCAACGATTCCAACTTTTAACCTCTTTGCTCATATTGATTTACTGCATAGGCTTCGGGGCGGGGGAATTCTTCAAACATGCCGACCTCGTGGTTTCCTAATATTAAAACTCTTACTGCAGACAGAGCGAAACCAAATATTTTACCTTTTTCGCAAATGAAATCCAATTCCTTGTCACAGCTTACTGTGTACCAATTTCCAGAACTTTTCGAGAGAGAGGCACACTCGGTTCGGGTGACTTCATAAGCAGGTTCTCCTGCCTTCCATGCAACATACCCAGAATTTGTATGGTCATTTGTCCAGTTCATTTTGTTCCCTGGAATCTCTTTAAGTCCAATCCACCTTTCGCTCTCTGTGTTGGCAGCAATGAAATCGTTTTCTTTCTTGGATCCAATGTTGACCAAGCTCGCCGACGAACCCACGCAGGTGGTTTTCGCGGCTTCCCAAGACTTTGAAGTTGTTGAGAAAAAATAACAAGAGCCTCTGAAGTATTTCCAGTTGGGGAGGCAGTACTCTGTACAAAGAATTAAAAAAATAATAAAACTACAACGAAAGAACTTCGACGAAGTTACTTACGTAAATCGCTGGAAGCATTTCTCCGAGGTGAAACTTGTGTACCTGAGGGTTACAGCTCTTACAGCTCTAATCATGCTGTACACGATTCGACTTTGACTCAGTCGGCAGAAATGCAAGAAGCAAACAAACAAACAAACAAAAATCCACTTCCGTCACGTATACAAACTTCCTTGTTCGTTCAACATCCGACGCGGCTTATTACACCGATAAACCGATAGTAGGTGTAATTGCCTTTATAAGATAAACGTCAATATTCTATGGGTCTACTGCTGCAATAAAAGGTAAGTTTTTGATCAATGAGGGTGCTCGTTATCTCAGTTATTTTATAAATGTATATAAGGACAACCGTGTTCTTGTGACTAACCTTTTAATACGCCCACTCTCATGCAGGAGGCCGTTTTTGCGTGTATCACTGTGAATCGCACATAACGTGCAGTGTAACTGTTTGGATAGAAGTAATTCAAAGATCCATTCGAGGTCTACAAACAAAGACAGAGATGTCAACTTTTTTGTTTCAAATGAAAAAGACATAGAAGAAATCGAGTCCTTAACTCCTTCAAGCACCAGTAGATGGGAATTACTTACCACTTCATGGAGCCATGAGTCACCCAACGATCCATCAACACGCATGCCTATTTTGTACAAGGTGACTTCAGCGTTTGAGTCATGTGATCCTTGAACTGCCACGCCATATATGGTCTGATCCGTCCCAAGGTCCAATTCGAGCCATTCATTTGCGCCATTAGTGTAAGAACACCATGAACCCTGCTTGTTGTCGAAGAAGGCGTGTTCCGGCCGTCCTGGTGCTTCATTATCGTCCAGACTAGAGCTTGCACTCAATTGGGAATCAGAAACCGTCCTTTTGCGCAGTCCAAGCTCGTTAGAAGTGGCTACAAAGAAATGAGAGGAAAAGGGCAGACTTAACACTTTATGTTACCAAATGGCTCGTGTCAGCATTGCAACTTCCAAAATTGCTACCTCTGCACATAACCGCCGTTTATCTTTTCACAATGACGAAAGCTAAAATAAACCTCTGTTTTTCAGTAATAATTGTACAGCAGTGTTGCTTCTTCCTCTGTATTTACGTTAGTTCAACGCAAGATACTGCCTTTCCGGACCTCTGATTTGGATGGGTAGTACCGCACCATCCTAAGACTGAACCTGTTAAATTTCTGCGCAAATCACATATCATCGTAAATAGAGCAAAAGTAAGAGCCACAATATGACTTTACTGCAGATTATTTCTTTATTTTTTATCCCTTGTATTCGCAGCTAACAAATTGATTGAGAAGGTTCATTAAGGGTTTATCTCTAGTATGCTAGAAGAGACTTCTAAGTTTCGTAAGTTTTCATTCATATAAATGCACTCCGGCAAAGAATAAACTTGTTCATGTTCGCTCAGTGACTACAAGAACCCTTTTCGATCAATAACGCTGAAAGTAGCTTTCAGGGTGATAAAGATAAATAATTATGTCTGTTTTTGTGTTTATGACCTTACGTAAAATGAAATTCTTGGCCATACCGGCGTAATAAAATGCCTCCAAGTCATCCACTATGAAGTATTTACTCCCGGCCAATAGGGAGTCTCGTTCGTCGATACTAAGAGCCAGACTGCTTGGGAACTTATACGAGTTGTTGAGACTTGTGAAGGATTCTGCGCTCCCAGCAGGTAAAGAGTGGACGTTAATGTCATTTTCTCCAAAAATGGGTCCAAATGTGCTGCTCTGAGTCGCTGCGTGATCTGATTTATCGCTTTCAAGATCCATCTTAAAAGGTGCTATTCCTCGCAAATTTTTCAAGCTGAATATAAATGCATGGTTACTTTTTAAGTAACCGTCCGCACCTGAAAAAACAATTTTTTAAAATATACTTACGGACCTACGATAAGATTGGTATTTATTAGGGCCGTCCCTGCCTTTTAATTTTCAACGAGTCATATCACTCACTCGCTAAAAAATTTTTCCCGCTGTGTAAGATCATTACAGCTGAGGGGAGAATCACAAATATATATTGATCAGTGTACAAAATGACCGTCAGGAGCACTCACACTATATGATGACAACTATAAATTTATTTGAATTTGCCCATTTTCTTCCCTCCATTTTCATTTGGAACAGTTTGTGACCGAATGGGAGCGTGCAAAATTATGAAATAAATAAATAAATAAAAGCTTCTTGTCCTGGTACCAATTTACATTGCTGTGTGGTTTTAATTTTGAATGTTAAATTCATAGCTGGTCTGTTGGATAGTTTTTTCGACTCACCTCCCCAGTTACTGTACAGAAATCCTCCAAAAATGTTCTTTTGAACCCGAATGAAAGTCACAGTCGGTCCTAAGCCATCGCAACTGTGGAAATTAGACCCTTTCCAATTGGAAAATGCTTTGAAACAACGCAGCCACGCACCCTCTTTCGGAAGTATAGCGTCCAGCCATTTTCCAAGAAGGTTATCGTACTCATCTTTATACCCAGAAATTGTTGTAATGAAGCGTGCTACAATATTGAAATGTAACTGTTATTTCCACGTGACTTATCCTCATTATACAACACTAGGGAGATTGCAAAGTAACAGGATATCCCACTCGAGATATGTGGCCCATAACGCGAAAGCGTATCCCGTTTTCGGAGTATGAAGCGACTTGGAGTAGTTCTACTTCCCCTGATTGAAAGGTCAGTCCATCCCAGGTTAAGAAGTGGAAAGAAGTATTAAGCAGGCATGTTTGTTTAGGAAAAGGGGAAATACAGCTGAGAAGGCCCTAATTTTATTTGAAAAATTCCTATCGCTCTTTCATCTTTAATACTATCATCAACACTTAATGCTTCCTTTCTAGCGTATTTTCTACATCCATACTTCTTCCATGAATGTAATTCAGGATTGCGCTCTGTGTTTGCCATAAGACAAGGACTGTATACCAGTTAACATTGCACCTTTGCTAGCAAGGTATGTGCGCAGTTTGAATA